TTTTACCAAAAATGACAAAAATATTCATCAAAATTAGAGAATTAAAGATATCATTACAAAATGAACAAATCTGAGAGAGGTCTACATGTAGTACATATACATGTAATATCAAAGCAATTGGAATTGTGGTTTTTAACAAGAAGTTGAAAATATCACTTTTTATCAAAAATGACAAAAATATTCACCAAAATTAGAAAATTAAAGATATCATTAGAAAATGAACAAATCTGAAAGAGGTCCACATGTAGTACCTATATATGTAATATCAAAGCAATTGGACTTGCGGTTTTTAACAAGACGTTGAAAATATCACTTTTTATCAAAAATGACAAAAATATTCACCAAAATTAGAAAATTAAAGATATCATTAGAAAATGAACAAATCTGAAAGAGGTCCACATGTAGTACCTATATATGTAATATCAAAGCAATTGGACTTGCGTTTTTTAACAAGAAGTCGAAAATATCACTTTTTACCAAAATGACAAAAATATTCACCGAAATTAGAGAATTAAAGATATCATTACAAAATGAACAAATCTGAGAGAGGTCCACATGTAGTACCTATATATGTAATATCAAAGCAATTGGACTTGCGGTTTTTAACAAGACGTTGAAAATATCACTTTTTACCAAAAATGACAAAAATATTCACCAAAATTAGAGAATTAAAGATATCATTACAAAATGAACAAATCTGAGAAAGATCCACATGTAGTATCTATATAAGTAATATCAAAGCAATTGGACTTGCGTTTTTTAACAAGAAGTCGAAAATATCACTTTTTACCAAAATGACAAAAATATTCACCAAAATTAGAGAATTGAAGATATGATCATGAAATGAACAAATCTGAGTGAGGTCTACCCAAGGTACATATACACCAAGTATCAAGGCATTCAGGCTCGTAGTTTTCAATAAGAAGTCGAAAAAGTAAAACATTGACACGGACGACAGACGACGATGGACAATCACTCATATGATAAGCTCCGCTCGACAACATCGACAGCGGAGCTAAAAATAAGATGAAATTCACACAGTAACCACATACAGCAGACGTGACCACATTTATGTGTTTCAAATACAAGAAAATGAGCTTATATGGTTAAGATGATCTGGCATTCAGTTGACAACCATGCTATGTGTCCATCAGAACATAAAGATGCTATATGTAAGAAAGAGACTAACCTCTGAATCTGTTGAATCCCCTAATGATGATGGTTTTTCTGTTAAACTACTACTATCTCCATCACCGAACTTTGAAGGGTTTTCATCAGAATATAAAACACTTCCAGGACTTGGCCGAGGAGGTTGCCTGAAAATAAAAAAAAATGTACAAAATTAAGTGAGGAAATTTAGAAAATGCGAAGGGAAACTCCTTGGGCATTGTGACAATAGTTTTCAATGCCTCTGCGAAGTTCAATTCCTACATCAGTAGATAATATGAACTAAATAAGATGAGGGTTATCCACAGCTCAGACAAAGGACAAGAGTAACAGTAAAGACATACCTGCCGTAATTTGAGTTTTTACGATTTTCTTTTGTATTTCTTCTTGGGTGTAATTCAAAGGTAGCAAAGCCACCATCATCAACCTCCACTGTTGTATTATCTACACCATGTAATTTCCTCTTAGCTGAAAACAATGATTCAGTATTTTAAATTAACTTCTATGAGTTTTCATAGTACATTTTATTTTGTCTTTACCTGCCTTATTAATGTTATACACATGTTAGAGTACATACAAGGTCTTTTAAGAATAAGTTCAAATGCTGGCTACATTTATAGTAAGCACAGCTGAATACAAGATCTATAATCACTGCCGAATACTTGATCTATTTGGAATGAGATTTTGCTATAAGTAAACATGGATCTTCTCCATCAAATGGCATTTATTATTCCCAACTTTTTTCTATTCAATCAAATAAATTATCAAGTAGTGAATGTAAGAAACAATCAAAGCAATTTGATACTTACTTCTGTATCTTTTATTTCTACCAAGTACACATAATAATATCACTAACATTAGAATAAGTAAAACACCAACGGCTGCTATCAGAATCAAAAACCAATATTGCTCATATATTGGAGAAAACAGTACAACTGAAACAGAAAAACAAAGAAAATCAGTGCACAATACTTTTCGAGAAAAGTCTAGAAAGTTTTTTGAACCTCTAGCAATGTCATTAAAGAATATTATGTGAACTTACCAGCACCCAGTACTGGGCTCTGCTTACTGGGTAAACTGTAGCTGTGATTGTTGATAGCTGACACTCGGAAAATATATTCATGGTTTGATCTTAAATCTTTGAAATCGATTGAATATGAGGTAGCTTGAGGTGAAATATTGCTTATCAATTCTTCCCAATGACTGTCACCTAGAAACGATTGAACACAATGTTTATATTTATGAATAATACATGTACATGTATGTTAATAAATACATTTTTGGAATGCTGACGTAATTAGTCACTAGATTTCAATTTCACTGATGAAAACTATGCACAGTTAAAGGAATGCATCTGATCCACAAAAAATTATTTCACCTTTCACACTATATCTACATTAGCTGTGCAAAATGTTTTAAATTCTGCTACAAATATTCATGAGTCAGAGTGGAAATGCTGGCTGGCCACTTGGAACCTTCAAAATAACAGTTTGTGGTGATTTCTAGCAACAAACATTTAATGGCATACCTGATATTACAAATAATAGATACCTTTGCTAAACTCTGGACAATTATTGGTGAAAACACTGCAATTATAAAGTAGTATAAAAGAATAATATACTTACTGTCTGTTCCTTCAACTTGCATAGGATATCCTTCAATTGCATAATTTTTGATGGGTGAAGCACCAGTATTATTAGGAGGCAGCCATGACAAGAATACAGAACTACTCAAACGTTCCATTTTCACATTACGTGGTGCACTTGGAGCTCCTGCAAACAGAAATTATTACCTCATTCAAATATAGACTTTGTGAAATGTGAGGCAACGCTTGAAGTATATAAATACACACAGTTAAATCAAACATTTATGTTACAATATTGTGAATGCATATTCCACCACCTACCTGGTTGGGGGCCTGTTGTCACATTTCCTATTCTAGGCTCTCCATAACCTTTTTCTGTTTTTGCTTTAACACTGAATTCATACATCTTGATTTCAGCCAACTCAGCAGCATAGAGATATGTCTTCTCTTCTCCAGTAATATCAACAGTAATAATTTTACTTATTCCTGTAACAACAAAACACCACTTATAGTCAATTTTTATAACCTTTTCTCATTTAAAAATCAGATGCTAAAAATGCTTTTATTTCACAGTAAGATGTGATACATGAATATATAATGCACAGATAACTTGAATACTGTAGAATACTTTATTTTCGCTATTTTCGCTGGAGGGATGATTCCGTGAAAATAAAATCCAGCAAATATACTTTTTTTTTCTATATTTCACATTAAACTCATCAAAAATCAGTGAAAATAAATTCCATACAAAACGCCCAAAAAGCCTTTTCAGCGAAAATTAATTCCAGCGAAAATACAGTATTCCACAGTATTCACATCAGACTACTGTCATAGAACATTCTAAAGCACTAGACATTGCTTTGAATACTTTTTATTCGATTCTTTGCCAAAAACAAGTGAAATATCAAGAGTCAGATACGAACTACAAATTTAACAGCAGTAGCAATAGAGATGACATGATATTGTACTTACCTTCTACAAGTTCAAGAGGTTTATAAATAACTTGATAACCAATTATTATGCCATTTGGCTTGATTGGTGAGGCCCAGGTAACATTAACAGCATTCATGGTAATCTTTGTGAAGATCAGCGGACCAGGTGTTCCAGGTACTGACAAAATATCAATATATATATATCAATTTTTTAATATCAGGTAGAATATTTGATTTGGAATAAAAGTTCAACATCATGCATTACAACTGACCATAATTAGATAGTATGACGTTATCATCTGATATCACTTTCCGTAGAACTGGTTAATACAAGTAACATATTACCCCCGGTAGATATTATTACATATGTACTGCAGTTTATTTTGATTCGTCCATGAAATCAAAATCGGTATTTCCACAACCCATATGCAAATGAGGTCTGAGAGCAAACAAAGTAGTCCCTTCAGGAGTACAGTTTTTCGAAATAAACAATATTTAGAAGTATGATATTTTCCCCTTGGGGTACATGAATATACTTGCCGAGTGAAATGAAATTTGAACAACAGTAATGGTACTTTCAGGCAGTCACTTATTTTGGCCCAAACTAATTTGCATATCACCCAAGCAATAATGTTTTCGGTATTTTCACGGTCGATATGCAAATGAACATGGTATTTTCATTGGCTACCGAACTATTTTTATTTTGTAAACACATTTTCGTCTGCTATTTTTATCCAGTTCAAATCGTTCAACAACATTTTTGGCATGTCAGAAGTACATCACATGGAATACTATGATTGGAAGAACTTAATATATGTTGACCACCTGGAAACTGAGTTTTATAAACCTTGAAGGGCTCTCAGAAGATCCACCAGCAGTAAAATCAGCGATTACTATGCAGCCGCAACCATCAGCATCGAGATACCAGGTTTCTGCTGGCGACGTTGCGGCGTTACTCAGTTCCAAATAAAAAATACCAACGCCAAAAGAGCAAAATTTTAACCGGTAATCAATCCACGACCAGCAAGCAACATCGCACACAAAGTTGTAGCATGTAGCTCAACGACAACCGCTGTCGACGAAAGTCATCCCGTCAGTGGAGTACC